GCCCCGTGCGCCCCGCCACCACAGCTGCCCTGTCCTTCAGCCCAGGCCCTGGCCCTGCAGAGACGGTCAGTCCCCACAGATCACTGACCCAGGCACCTGCCCTTCGACCCAGGTCTAAGGTTCGCATGTGCACACATGAGAAGCCTTGCACATCTGCCAGTCTGCATACGACACACTTGTGTACATGCCAGCCCTGTTCACCTGCACACGCCGCCTAGCAGAAGTGGGTGCCTGGCTGAGCGGCTTGTTACACACGTGAGTGTCTGCTCTGTGCCCGGCACTGTACAAAGCACTTCATAGCGTTACAGATTCCATCTTCACAACAAACCTCCGAATAGGGTCTATTATTACCCTGCTTCACAGATGAAGAAAGGGAGACAGAGGACGCGTCATTACCTTGAGGACGTTCAGCCTGGGAGAGGGAGAGCTGGGCTCAGATCCTCACTCCCACCCTCCCCGACTGCCGGCCTCCACGGGCAAGCTTCTAGGCTGCAATTCCTCACCTGGAACATGGAATAGGATCACCCCTTCTAGCAAAGGGGGTCGGGGTGTGGGGAGAGGGGGTGTGTGTGTCCATAAAGCCCTGGAGACATGCCTGGTGGATGGTCAGCACCATTTTCTTGCACACAGACTGATCTATGCTCACTTGCACGTTCACACACACACAGGCTCTCACTCATTCACCAGCTCATACCGCTCACATCCGGTGCACACACAGGTGCCTGAGGCACCACTACCTTTTGGGCACGGGTGGTCTGGAGGACAGCCAGCAGTGAGAGCAGGACCAGCATGATGCCACAGGCATGGGCAGGGCCTGGGGGCTTCATTTGGGCTCCAGTGCCTGGCAGGCTGCTTCTGAACTTGAGAGAAAGTGGGGAATGATTTAGTAACCTGCTTGCTGCTCCGCCCCTCCGGGGGCAGGTTCCGGGAAATTGGAATTAACAAGCCAAAACTTGCAGTGGACTCAGATAAGTGAATGTCCTGTGGACCTTGGCTGAGGACAGACACGTGCACAATAAGTCCTCAGTGACATCAGGATAGGTTCTTGGAAACGGCAACTTTAAGTGAAATGATGTTCACCTTAGAAATGAGTTCAGTTCCTGTGGCCTATTTCTGGTCACAAAGCATCACCAAACTTCTAGATAAAAATCCAAAATGTTGAAATCAGTGTGAGCTATACTTATATTTAAGAAAGATTCATAAAACCAAGTGAGATCATGCTTTTCCAACTTGCTGATTCCAATTTAGGGGTTCAGATGCCCAAAGCCTCTCCCAGCAGCTCAGGGTGTAAAACGTGAGACCCCAACCTGGACAAGACACCCCTCCATCGAAGGTCACACTGACACACCACCACACTAGACTGGAACGATGGAGACACACCGGTTCACCTCACGTGCATATCTTGGGGATGTGGGAGGAAACCATGGAGAAAGCCCACAGACATGGGGAGGCCAATAAACTCCACACATGGCCGCACTAGGAATTGATATTTTTCCTCATCAATGTCATAACCGAAAGAGGCTGAAAAAAGGACATTATTCCAGGACCTGCTATACTGAGGAAAGGAAAGCCTGCAGGCCAGGTTGGTGTGACTGGGCAGTGGGGCCCTACAGGCCCTGAGCACTCCTTGGGGTGTCTGAGTGGGGCAAGGTCTGCTGGGGTCAAGGCAGGGTGGATCTGCCATATTTCTGGGGTGAGAGAGGCTGGGCCCAGGCGACCCTTCTCTCTCCTGGGGCCCCAGGCTGCTGTTCAGGCCCCATTAACCTAGCCAGGGCTCTGGGTGCAACTCCAGCAAGGCCCCCAACACAAGACCTGCACTTTGGCAACACAAACCGAGAGGCCTCCCTCTGGGGAATTTACTGAATGTGTGGAACAAACCAGAAGGGACAGAGCTCCTCAGGGGGCGATTCCCTGTGGGGGCCTGTACACACCGGTGACCTGCATGGAGGTCAGTCATGCCAAGGGATCCAGGAGTCATGGATTGAAGGGGAAAGGGCAGGTGGCTGCTCTGTCAGCACACCAAGGCAGTGCCCTTGTCACCAGCCCAGACCCACTGAGGGTGGCCCCTAAATCGATGACTTTAGGTTTTCCTTTAATAAAGTTGAAATGATTTTTTAAAAAATTAGTTTTAAATGAAGGGAGGCAGGGAGAGAGGGAGGGAGAGGGAGGGGCAGAGAGAAAGGAAGAGAAAGAGACATGGATGTGAGAGAGAAACATGTACCCCCTGCCTCCTGCAGGCACCTGCACCGGGGATCAAACTCCCCACCTTTCGACGACTCTCCAACCAACTGAGCCATACCAGCCAGGGCTAAAGTGGAAACACTCTAAAAACAAAGAGCAATAAAAATGAATAAAGAACAGGATCCAGACACTGCTGGTGGGTGTGCCCCTGGTGGCTCGGGGAAAGCCTAGCCCCTGGGCCAATGGCCACAGAGGGGGTAAAGATGCTGCAGACAAGTGTGGTGGGTGCCACATTCTGGACTGGTGAAGGAGGACTCCTGACACTCGCCTGGGGAGGGAGAAGGGCAGTTATCTTGGGACCCTGGGTCTCCTCCATCAGCCCTGTAGTGGCACTGGAGGAAGGGCATCCTGGACTTTGGAGCTGCCTGTGGTTGCTCCCCTTCCTTCTGGGGACTCCAGCCAGAAGCCTCATCTCGGTGCATAACGGCACCGCTCGCCCTTCGGCTCTGATATGATTGGCATCACAGGGGGGGGCCATACCGCCCATGACACGCTGGGGGAGGAGCCTCCCCAAGGAGCCCAGTGAGCTGGCCAAGGCCCTGTCCCCACAGAAGGTCTGCTCCCTCAGGGCGGAGAACACAGGCCCAGCCTGGAAACAGCTATATAAGGAGGCCAGACTAGGCCGGGACGTGGGAAAGGTTCAGAGCAGCCAGCTCAACGTGCCCAGGGCACAGGCAGGGCAGGGGGCCTACGGGCACAGCCCTCAGCCAAGCATGGGAACCCAGGCCCTGCCAGACCAGCCCTGGACTGTCCGTGGTCTTGCTGTCACAGCTGGACGGGCCTTCGTACTCCCTGAATCTGAGAGCTCCATGTACACAGGGGACACTGAGGCCTGAAGAGGAAAGGATCTAACACAAGCCCAGACCCAGACTTCCCAGGCCTCAGGCAGAGCTGTGGGAGGGGCAAGGGGAGGTTCACCTGGAGTTGGGAGGGGGAGCAGCTCAGGAAGCAGACTGCCACTGGCCACAGGAGCCTTGGCGTGGCTTTGTCTGTGAGAGATGCAAGATGGTGAGGAGGCGGAACAAGGGCACAGGGGGAGGCGGCCCTCAAGGTCCCTGGCTCTTGCGGAGCCTTGGGGTCCTGAGGAGCATTGCGCTGGCTTCTGTGGAAGGCAGGGGGAGGGGCAGCCCAGGCCCCACCTGCTTCACTCGGTACACGTGGCCTGTTTTGTGCACTGGGCCTCAGCTCACCTCCCTTGTCACATACAAGGGGAAACTGAGCCTCAGAAGAGGGGAGATGGTCTGAGGTCACACAGATCAGCACCAGATCCCCACACCCCAGGCTCTTGCTAGGATGGGGCAGTGGCTATACCACCTCAGGATCATAAGGACCCTCCCAAAGACATGGGGGGTACAGACCATGCCCACCTGCACGCAGGGCCCATGCCAGTTCCCAAGGACACTCTCCAAATGCCGGGGCCACTTGGGCATCCTCTTTATTGGTGTTTCCCAGGGCCTGGCGCAGAGGGCCTGGGCTGAGAGGCCAGGGGCCAGGGGGAGGGGTGGCAGTCCCGGAGGCAACAGGGGAGCAGGGGAGTGCTGGCATGAAAGAGTTCTTGGGAAAGACTCCTGTGTCTAGGTGTTGTCAGTGCCCAGGGGGTGGCGTGGCGTGTACTTCTCAGCCAAAGACACTCTTGGCAGGCCCAGCTTTCGGCTTATCAAAGACGGTCTCAGTGCCGGTCCGCGTGCGGCTGAACACAGATGGTGCGGCAACGCCGGCTTGCTCTGCGGGCAGGATGGGGAGGTCAGAGGCCCAGCCCAAGCTCCTGGCGATGGAAAGCCTCTTTTGTGGGGAGCCCCTGAGCTCTGGACTCTGAGAAAAGACCCCTAGGAGCCCCCAGCTCACCCCCTCCTACTGACACACATCTGCACCCCCTTGGCCCCCAGTCCCCTGAGAACACTCACCACACTCCTGCATGACCTGGTAGGTCTTGGACTTGATCGCCTGGTTCTTGGTCAGGTTCCCTCGGGCCCCCTTCAGGTCCTCCTCCTTCACAGGGGGGCGCTTCTTTTTGATGGGGGCTCCCTCGGGGCCAGCCTTGGAGAGACCAGAGGCTCCTTAGAACCCAGGCCTTCAGGCCGAGACCCGTTCTGTCCCACCTCTTTCTGCTCACTCAATTCAAGCCAGTCCCAGGCCCCATTCATCCAGGAAGCCTTCCAGACGATGCATCACCCCTGACCCCCCACCCTGAGTCTCTCTGTCCTTTTCCCCAGACTGGCAGCCGTGGCCTCACACTGTGTGCCTGGCTGGCCAATCTCGAGCTTGGGCACAGTGGGCAAAGGGGAAAGGCGCTCGCTCTGAGGCTGAATTCCAGGCTTTCGGTGATTACCAAGAGTGTGGTGGCAGAGGGTCCCTTGGGTTTGCCCCTCTCCTCCCAAACTGCCAGGATTTACCTTGCGGCCTCTGGGGTGGGAACCAGGTAGAGGAATCAGATGCCCATGAAGTCACATTCCCGTCAGCATCTACCCATGGAGCAGACTGGTCTGTCCCTCCAGAGCTGGGACACCCAGCCTCAGTGTCTACCCTCCCTCAACCACAGGAGGCCGGGAGTCTGAGGCCTTCCTCCTTCCTAAGCCCTAGGGGTAGGCGCAGACTCCCTGAGCCTGGGCTGAGCTCCTGTGCAGCACAGTATACCCTCCAGACACACATCCTGCTGGAGACACCCGGGCAGAATGTACACCCACAGATCCAGCCTCACATGTACACACACACACACACACACACACACACACACACACACAGCTATAAACGTGCACAAACTGCCAGTTCCGCGGGCAGCTTCCTCACACACAAGATCTAGAAGTACCACCCATTTTCCCTACCCTCCTAACAAGCCACGGAATGCCATAAACCCAAGCTGAACAGGGTCCCTCAGATAAGGTGGGCGGGGACTCCCCGCCTCCCAGGGGCTGCAGAGCTCCCGTGTTTATGCCTGGAGCTCAGCTCAAGACACAGCTGCCAGAGATGATGGTGTCCAGCTGTCCACCCCCCATCCCCAACCCCCACCGCACCAACACACCGTGCTGGGCCCTCCTACCTGGGACATGGTGAGTGCTGAGTGAGAGCTGCTCCGAAGGCTCCTCTCTGGCAGCAGTAGCTGGTGGGAGAGATCTGGGTGCCCGGCCCTCTTGAGCTTATATAGTCCCCTTGCCTGTCCTGGGAAGTCACTCCCCCTGTTCCGACCGGCTCCCCGACCCCGATGATTCAGGTCCACACAGCCACTGGCTTCAGAGTTTATTCTCGGAGATGATAGGGGATCGCTGAGCACTTCTGCCCAGGGGGCTGCGGCCGTGGTGACAGACAGCTGGGGAGCCTGCACCCTCAGAGACAGCTGCTCTACTTCCAAGCGGGAGGTGCTGGGACTGGCAGCGACTCGTGTTTATGAATGTGGGTGCTGGAATGTGTGTGGCAGTAGGGGCTGTCCATCTGTGACAGTCCATCCCAGGCTGACCGCTTTGGGCTTTTCTTTCTCTTCTGCCCCTTCCCTGGTTCCAGAGGAAAGACACCCGCCCTGCACAGCAGCAGGGCGAGCCTCTCTGACTGCCTCTCGTGAGCTCTGCTCGCGGCGAGTTCCCTGGGCTCACGG